GCACCCTTGTAATCCTCACCTTCCAATATATCTATCCATCTTTATTAGGGATGCGCCGATTATAGGTATTTGGGCGAGTACTCGTCAAAATGTTCCCATACCAGACCATCCCCGATACCGGTCAGAGGGAGATCTCTCTCTGACCGGAAGTGCCGCGAGGAAGAATGGAGCCGGCCAATCAGGAAACCCGGTAATGGGTTATGACCCGCCTCCTGATTGGTTAGGAAGCCTGTGTTCTGTCGAAACCTCCAACTCTTCGAAACCTCCAACTACCTCGCTGCCGGGTACTTGCAAGTTGGAGATTTGCGACCAGACGGCGTTAGGACTGCAAAACACAAAGACTGACGGAGCTCCGTACACCTGCATTTTAACAATATTCAGCAGGTGGCAAACTCGACGAGTGTTCTGTAAGCGCTATGCGCGCATGCGCACCGCAACTGTACAGAGCTCCAGTCTTTCTGAGCACCGGAAGCGAGGTAGTTGGAGATTTCGACGAGTTGTAGCCTTCGTTAGAACACTGGCTTCACTTGTTGCTAGGCAGCCTGGCTTCCTGACCACTCAGAATGCCGGGCGGCGGAGATGTATAAAAAAAACCCCACTATTTTAATTGTTTTTATTTACCTTTGTTTTTTACCCCATTCGGCCCACCCCTGCCACGATTCTCCCCTAGGCGAGAAAGACATTTCACCTTCCTCCTGGTACATTCATTAGTTAAACATATTTTTCCTTTACTTACAATTACTATTTTTCCACTTCCTGTGATGTCATGTGCCCAAGCATTGCATCCTGGGAAGGTGACATCAGCAGAGCATTGCTGGGAAATCTCATCTGTAATCTCAGGGAAAGGCATCCCCCCCCCCCTGAGATGACGTGCATGGTCACATGTCCTAGTCACATGTGTCAGAGTTCCAGAAAGTAAAGGGAAATGGATTCATCTGCCCTTAGTAAAAATGGCCGCCGTGAGAAGAATGGGGAGCAAAAGAACAGCACGGTATGCAAAGGATACAAGTCCGGCAATTATCTAGAAGTATCTGTGTGTCATCACTAAACATTTCTAAAGGCGTCTTTGTTGTCATTTCAAAGATACGAGTAAAGTTTCCTCATTAGGATACCGACGTCCCGTCCGCCAGGAGGAATGATAACTTATTATACAGAATATATTGCGCCAACAGTCTGCGCGCAGAGGTTCATGATATAAAGGGAGGCAGGACAGTTACATACAATTCAAGAGGGTTAGGACGGCCCTGCCCCTGGGAGCTTACAATCTAAAAGGGGAGGAGCCAGTGATACAAAATGGTTATAACCGAGTTGTGTTGATGGAGGGGTTTGAAGGTTGAGGATTGGTGGAGGAGGCTGAGGATTGATGGAGAAGGCTGATGGAGGAGGTTGATGGAGGAGGATGATGGAGGTTGATGGATGATGGAGGAGGATGATGGAGGTTGATGGATGATGGAGGAGGATGATGGAGGAGGTTGATGGATGATGGAGGATGATGGATGATGGAGGAGGATGGATGATGGAGGAGGATGGATGATGGAGGAGGATGATGGTTAATGGAGGAGGTTCATGGTTCTGTTGGTGGGTGTCAGTGGGATCGTCTTCCCTGATGAGATGAGGAGACTCCAGGGCACTCCGATAGCAGACCGAGCCGGACAGGTAGAGATGGATGAAGGAGGAGGATGATGGAGGATGGTGGAGGAGGATGGAGGAGGTTGATGGATGATGGAGGAGGATGATGGAGGAGGTTGATGGATGATGGAGGAGGATGATGGAGGTTGATGGATGATGGAGGAGGATGATGGAGGAGGTTGATGGATGATGGAGGATGATGGATGATGGAGGAGGATGGATGATGGAGGAGGATGGATGATGGAGGAGGATGATGGTTAATGGAGGAGGTTCATGGTTCTGTTGGTGGGTGTCAGTGGGATCGTCTTCCCTGATGAGATGAGGAGACTCCAGGGCACTCCGATAGCAGACCGAGCCGGACAGGTTGGGAGTTCCAGACGACGGGGAGAGGCTCTGGAGAAGTCCACTTTCCACCATTCATACAATCCTGCCATATCTCATAGGATGGCACCCTGTAAATGGACTCGGACCTCTGCCTGCACATGGAAGAGATCCGGTGCCGATGGCTGACATAGATATCCTAAGAGGCTGCTAGAGCCGGGCTGACGTCATTCTTGTCCAGGTGAGAATAGAGGCGGGGCCGAGGGGGGGCGGGGTGGAACAAAAATCAACAAAAAAAAGGTAAACAATAAAAAAGTGGGGGAGGGGCGACGGGTTGCAACGCAAAAAGTCATTTTTTTCCCCTCACTGTGAAGGTCCGCCATGAGCCGTTAACCCTTGCAGTGTGGGGGAGGGGGGCGCTGCAAATGTCTTGAAAATAACATGACATGACCTATTTTTTGCAACCCGTCGTGCGTTGGGGTACGCTGCAACAAAGGTGCATTGCCTTAGTGCGTTGGGCATGTAAAAATGAAGCATGTAGTCTGCACTGCCACCGTGCAGAGATGTACTGGGGCCCCTAGGGCTCGTTCACACCTGCAACGTCGCATTTTTGGGCAGCGCAGCATGTTCTGACACACATCACAAGGCACCGCCGCCCATAGAATTTAAAAAAAGTTTAGAAAGAACAAGCAACGCGATGCATTTTAACAACGCAGGGCTGCATGCATGTACGCCATGCATGTTATGCGCACAACGCACACCATGTGGCGTTAAAGGTCTGATAACAGCGGCGTCCGGGGTCCTGTAAGACGGCACAGCTTGGACTCGCTACCAGGTAAGTATTCGCATGCATTTTGAGTTTTCTTATCTTAGTGACAGGGCCACTTGGTGACCAACCTCCATAATGGATAATAGCTGTGATAAATGACATATAACTTTCTGTGAGGACACCTCAGCCATATGAAAGGTGACAACGTGCACCTACAGGACCGCAAAGGCAGCCCTCCACCTTACCTGCCCGCTCCGCCCGGTAAATCACCGCACGCAGCTGCTCACCCCCATCCAGCACAATAACGCCAGCCAGACCCCCCGCGCATGCGCGCTCCGGCCCGACACCGCTCGCCCTCGGGGTGCATTGTGGGTAGCGAGGTTCGCGGTCCGCGGCGGCAGAGCCGCACCTGAGCGCTCCGGACTACCTTTCCCGTCGTGCCTCGCCGTCCCGCCCGCCGGGAGGGATGGGAAGGATCATGGGAAATGTAGTGCGGGAGGCGCGGCGTTGTGGAGGGGGCCGGGGTCGCGCGGTGGTTCTCCCGTCAGGTGTGCGAGGGGCGAGCGTGAGGTCACGTGGCCGGCCCGCCAACTCGCTGCTGAGGTGAAATTTTGAGGCGCGAGGATGAACAATCCCGCCATCGCGAGGAGGCCTGCGAGCAGGTTGGCCTCGTTTCACCGTCTGTAAAATATAAAACGTAACCCGTTATAAATCACACTTTCCATCGTTATTCCAAACGCCGTTTACATCCAAGTTCTCAACACCCGAGCCGGGTCCATGAAGCCTCCTACTGGCCACCTAAAATCTGTATTTCATGATAAAAAGATGATACCAGAAGTGGGGTTCGAACCCACGCGGACATATGTCCATTGGATCTTAAGTCCAACGCCTTAACCACTCGGCCATCCTGGTAGCTGTGTAAAGATGTGGAGTGTTATAATAAAATGTTAGTTTTGTCAGCACATTTCTGTTATATATAAAGGAAAAAAAAGTGTATTTTTTTTTTGTTCTTGTTCGCTGAGCTGTACATTTGCAGTTTTATATACAGACGCATTCCTGCCAAGCTTCTGAGTTACCTCATCTGGCCAATCAAGCGGGTGAAGACTCCAGAAGAAGACCTGGACAACAGGGCCGGATTTACTGTCCCTGCTG